TGCAACTTTCACCAACTTGCCCATACCTGTCAACCCCTTGTAATAAAGAGAACTACGCATTTTACAAGGCATATATGTCATTTGGTTGGCTATTTGCTTCAAAAATGTTTCTTCCATAAAAAGTACAGCACTTGCACTCTCAGATATCGGACATACAAAAGCTCACAAATGAGAGAGCTGGCATCCATATTCTAATTCCCAGATGTAAAAACAAAAGTCCCCACATATGCAAATCATCCAGCTTACCTACAGACAAGCATTATATGGGTGGCTAAATTTTTTTCTTGGACATTTCTAATCAAATTCCAAAAAAGTTGAAGGGGAAAATATCCTTCACATTTAAATATGAAGTTCACTGATAAACTGGTGAATAGAGCAGCAAAAACCTCTAGTAGATTAAACAGAGAAGGAAAGACTATCTTTCCCACAGCACTCCTCACGCCCTGAGAGAAGGCTGGTTTACTGTGAGAACTATATCTGCAGATAAACTCCACATCAAATCAACTATTTTTTTCCTTACAGGTGCCATCAGACTTCACTGCCTGACAGACAGTCCAGAGCACAAAAAGTAAAAACTAGGGGCAACAGGCATTACCATCTTGGAAAAAAAAGATGTATTTTGTGGTCTATTTCAGTTTAAAAAGAGATAGAAAGACAGATGTGTAAAAGATTGCTATCTTTTAGCAATCACAGCCTCACTAGATACAATCTGAAAGCTGTATACAAACAAAACCAAGCAGTAAAATCAAAACTAGCCAACTTAAATAAAAAAATGTTCAGAAGAAACAAAGTCCTTGATTTAGAGTCTTCATGCTTTCCTAGCACAAAAACAGGTTTGTAACTTGGAAGTGATCAAAACAGAATTCCCTTCCCTGAGACTAAATCCAAGCTCTAATGCTCTATGTGGTTTTAACTCGGCCCTCAGCGGCATTTCAGAAGTTTGTGATGGAAACATCCCCGAGGCAGCAATACGAGTTACTTTGCTTCAGACTGAACGCACCTTAACATACTGTTCTAGTTTCAGGCCAGCCAGGTCAGAGCAGCACTTAGTGCAATCAATCAGCCATTTGAACATGGTACTCTTAGAAACAGCTTTGCCAAGTGAATTAACGTCAAATAAATAGAAAAGCGAATGGTCTAAGTATGTTAATCCACTCCAAGGACCTTTTATAGTCAAGCTTATGGAGACAGGATAATTCAGACACAGGAAAACAAATATGACCTGTGAAAGGCCCTTAAAACGTGACTTTCCGCTACTTTCTCAAAAAGTTATTTCAGATTATTCAGACAAACATAACCCATCTTTTTTGGTAGGAGGAGGATTAAGTCACTTAATTTTACAAGCTCAAATCCCTGCCAGGGTGAAGAAAAAAAAATAAAAAAAAAAAGACTGAACTGCTTTGTTAGACTCACATTCCTATGGGCCTGCTCCGCACACAATTGCCTGAATTAGGAGAGAGGGAAAGGAAAATTTAATATATCTCAGCACCAAAAAGTGACTGCACAAAATCCATGAACTCTAGAGATACTGCTCATGACAGTTCCTTTGCAAAGTACAGTGAAGGTCTTAGAAAAATGATCTCTCTAGCGAAACAGAGAAATGGAAGCTGCAGGATAATAAAAAAGGAAGTAGACTTTGAAGTCAATGCAGAGAAGATACTTGGATTACTGTGGTGGGTACCAAGCTAAGGCTGGTGCTCCAAATTATTGTTTCAACACAAGAATTCCTATTCCACTCCAATTTTCAGTAACACTCTTGGGTAACTTTCCGGAATCCAGTTGTTTTAACTGCAGCACATGGATCGTTTCTCTCTCAAATCACTCTAGAAGGGTCTTTTTTTCTCCCATCATCTCAGGCAGAACACCTAAACTATTCTATTCAAGAGTTTCAGCTTCAATGAGAATGCTTTTGCACAGCCATAGCTTTAAGGGTAATGACACAGAGCATGTTAAATATATAACTGTCCAAGCAAGCTTGTTACCGGGAAGATGAAGTTCTGCTGATATGAGACAAATATTCAATTTTCAATTTAAGTGGTTAGGCATCTGAAGCAACCCAAGCAGTGTTAATCATATAGGACTCTCCTGACATTAAAACAATCATAAATATTGCTATTTACTACTCACGAACTGAAGGAAGATATAAACTTCTAACGAGACAGAGGATAAATTTCTGTAACAATGAGGGGAACTGAACCGCCAGTTCAGTGATCACAGTTACACATATCTTCAGGAAATATACAAAATAAGCTACTTAAATTCTCAAATTTATCTGCAGCACAAGTTTCTGATTGCAAGCTTTTGTAAGAAAATTTCACTTTCCATTCACTGAGAGATAACATTCAGATTTTTCAACAGAAGAGAGGCAAAAAGCTTAGTTAACAGCTTAAAAAATACATCACTTGTAGAGCATAAACAGATAAACCTCACTAAAAATGTTATTAGTTTCCACTTATTTTTTATTCAATTTTTTCCTAGTATGTTTCTGAAAATGGTGGTATGGAAATCAAATAGCTTATTCTGAAATGTGATCCCAAATGTTGCAGCGTGTTATTATTATTTACACACTATTTGCTGTAGAGAAATACTAGATTTCACATTATTGTAATAGAAAAATGAATTCATAAAGAAAAAAAGGGTCACACATTAGAAACACAAGTTGCTTACTTAGTTGGAATTCTCTGAAGACGTTCAAGGTTTGATCTTAGGAGTCGACTTTAAACATTATATGACTCCCTTTACGTCACTACCCCTGCCCCAAGAGATTTACATAACATAGCTTCCAATAATTGTCTTACCCAGTAAGCCAGAGATGCACATTAGAAGCACAACAGACATTATGCCAATAAACTGTAGATGAACATACATGATCTGTAAAGACAAGCACTTTCAGAATGCTCCATTTACTTTACAAGCTTTGCAATAAAAGTGAAAAGGATGTGAAAATAATTCATTGATACAGGTCATATGTAAGGCGCTTCCATCTCTCAGCAACGTAGGATTAACAACTCTATGCTTATTAAAACACTTAATAGTATTTATATTACAGTAGTGCCTAGAGGCCCCAACTGAGACTGAGGCCTCTCCTGAGTGGAGTATTAGAAAATCATTATCACATTGACTCACAAAAAGAGAACTTCCTTCCAAGCGTATATACATTTCAACCTATCCTTTTTTAAAAGGAATCACTATCTCTGTAAGCTTTACTGCAGTTCCTGCTGTTTAGCTCATCTTCATTTTGAACGTTCAAGAAGTACAAACATATTGTATATATTTAAATAAACATCAAAATGTATCCACTTGGGCAAGCAGTTTCATCCTCAACCAGCAAAAAACCAAATGAATAGGAAATGAGCTTTTCTCCAAAAGCATGGTAAAAATATCATGTATAAATACAAATGGGATACACTAAAACTAGTTCTATGATCATGAGATATCCTGACATTAGACTTGCTGGTCACATATTTCTTTTGCAAACATTACAGTAACTATACATGTAATGAAGAGTCCATTAGGTGGCTGAGCAATTGGTCTTTCAACACTTCCAAGGCACATTTGTTCCTAACAGAAGCAGAAAGAGCAACATACTCTAAATGCATCAGATTTCCTGGGCCTGCAACGAACAGCTGTACAGGTTTGAAAGACAGACAAGTAAGCTATCTTTGAGGCACGAGAGGATGAGCCAGGAAGGTGACAAACTGAGGAAAATCATTTGTTCAGAGTGATGAACTACCACAGTTTTTGCAGCAACATTCTGAGTGGATATGAGCAAAAATGGATTGTGAAGACTTGAGAAAAGGTTGTAGGAGAGGCTGGAGGTGTGTGCTTGGATGAGGAATTTAGCTGCAGGCCCAAGATATTAAGGAAGTACTGAAATTTTTTAATTACCCTTTGAATATAGCGATCCAAAGTACTAACTAAGCAAAAAGTCATATGCATGCATGAAAAATTACGTATATGTTAATAAAATTAAATGTAAACCAAGTAGCAAGAGAAAACACTCCCCTCACAGATTTCTAGACTGCATAAATCTGTAAAGCTAGTCAGTTAGATGTTACATTTTCATATGCTATGAGATTCTGTGATAAAACAAACAATTTATGATCCAGTAAGTTTTCAACAACCCAGAGTACGTTAGCACTACAGGTCAAAAGCATAACTACAGCCACTAAAGCCTGATGAAGCAATCTACCTGCCAAGGATACTCCCACCACGTTCCATGCAGTCACGGTCACCAGGCAGCCAGTACCCACAGTGTTGTTCATGCCATACGTACATGCAGTACAGTCATAAATTGGATTGCAAAAACGCGAGCTGAACTTGTGTAGTTTGCTTCTCTTTTCAGTGACAAGAGATTCAACACAAGTAATATTGTCATAATTTCTTTACATTTGATCCCCTGTCTTTGAGTTTTTTGCCCTGTAAAACATTTGTTTTACAAAAACTTTTGGTCCTTGAGTTTTTTGCCCTGTAAAACATTTGTTTTACAAAAACTTTTGGTCTGTTGCAGTGCAATCCTGAGCAATTTAAACAGTTCCTTAAATTAGTTTTAATAGTTTAACATTAGAGTTGAATAATCTGTTCCAACAAATCATCTCTGGAATATATGTGCTTTTATATGTTTAATGAAAAACAGATTTTCAGTGAGATTCCCTATTTTTGTGTTTCAGGGAAGGTCCTTACCAGAATAAAAAGTTTTACTTGTTATCCTTTAAAAGAAGAAACTACTTAATTGGAGATATGAGAGACCAACTTCTGCCCTCTTGCATGAAAACTAGAAAATCTAAAGCAGGAGTACAGCAATTCTGGAATTCTTCTAGAATTATCAGTATATCTATTAATGTAATCAATATTTTACAGAACAAAGAAAAAATACTTTGAACTTTCCTTCTACAAATCACCTTACTTGCTACACACCTCGGATCTGTTTGTTCGGATCTACAGCTTAAATTCATTACTGTTAACAAATCTGAAAAAGTAAACTTTAAGAAGCTACTTACTGTAAATGTGCTACTTTTACTGATACAGGAATGTGAGGAAGTTGTGTGGCCCATTTCAGTGTCACATCTTGATAAACATACAACATGTTACTATGGTTTCCAATCAGAGTGTTTATTGTTCCTTCTGTCACTGTTAAAGACATAAAAACAGTTTTAAGATGAAAGATACTTTCATAAGCCAGTACTTTTCTCTGAGACTTGCATTATTCTTTTTTTTTTTTCTTTTCTTTGTAAGCCGTTACTTGGCCTACCTGAATACTTTTTATTTTTTTCCTTACAGATTTTTAAAACGTCAAAATGAAGAAAATCACACTGACAATAACCAAAGAGATGCGATTTATCATGAATACAAATTCCAATTACGTACTATACATGTCACACATGCCACAACTTTCCAAGGTTCTAACCAGCCATGTTAGGTAATTTAAAACATGACTAATAAAGATTCATCATAATTACTATGTTGGCATGCCAGGATAGTTATGACAAAAAACACGCATTGGTTAAATAATATCAGCTACTTATACTGCTCATTAATTCACTGGACTCTGAACACTGCTGAAAGTTCTAAGCATTTATGTGTTTGTTATAATTTAAATCACACAGTCTATAAAATACATAAAGATTAAGATAGTATTTACAAGTTTAAAATAAGAGTCTAAGTCTAGAAATAAGACACTGACAAACTTATCAGACAATTAAACAATCAAGTATTTAAAAAGTTTATTGCTAGGAGGTAAAACCAACTTACTACATTGTACGGAAGCAACTTTGACGTCACTATAGAACTACAGATTCTTAATACCTATTCTATATTAATGTTTCAAATACTCTCACTATCAATAAATGACAGAAGCATCTCAAATACTAATTTACTCTCCCAAAGCCCCTCTCTCTTGCATGTTTGTTGCCTTTGTAGCCTGGGAAAATTTACTCAGCTACCTCAAGAGCTATCAAACCCTAGATATGGACCTGCTATTAGGAAGAAAAAAATACCTATTTAAATTCTAACATTTATGATATATTTAGGATACTTCACAGTAAGTAATATTTGAAAATAAATCTGCCTCATGCAAAACAAGCAAGCTGATTTCACAAATTTTCTATGAATCAATAGTATATAAGGAAGAATATATTTGTTCAGTGAAAAAAAATTCTTAGCTGTAAAAATAACTAAACTAAAGCTTTTAGGTTGAATTTTCCTTTTACAAACCTGAGCAATAAGGAAGGAAGCAACTTGGACTGCAGTCAAGCTTTTTCATGAACCGAATTTGCCCATTATCCTTAAGGCAAAAGAAATTTCTCTCACCAAGCACAAAAACAGAAGAAACTGCCTGATTAAAGGAGACAACGCGTATATCCAGTGCTTGCTCTCCAATGTTTAAAACCCAATCCACCTTGAAAAGAAAAAACATGTTCCAGAGATCAACTGGCATTTGCGTATTAAATAAAATACGGAGAAAGTTCAGAATTAAAATTACATGAATACCAGTAATATAGATAGAAAAGCAAAATCAAGGTCTTTTTGGAAGGAGAAAATATTCTAGCTATCCATTTACTTACTTTGAAGGTTGTCGTGATTTTCCTCATTGTGAGGAAAACAGCAGAAATAACACCCAAACACTTTTTGAAACTGTCATGAATCGATGGCTATGCTTCATTTTACAAGCATATTAAACTAAACTTCAAGACGAAAAATGCTTTATAGTCTGAATATTAAATTCAAGTACACAATAACAAAATTATTTAAATTTGCCTCTGCATGTGTCCTCTGATATGAAGGGAAGGGCTAGTAAGCAGAACTTATTCTACCAATATACATAATTCTACCAATATATGTAATTGGAAAAAGTAGACTAAATTTCAGGTGCACAAGCCAACATTCATGCTTGCAGTCACTAATGTACACCTTCAGTCTGAAGAATGGTCACATGCATGAAAGCTTGTCTACTTGTCAACTACATACGTTGGTAGAATAAATAAATACTTGCAAGTTTTGCCTTGCCTATATCCTTACACCTTTAAACAATACCGCTGCTGACTGATACACATCAGGTTGTTATTTCAGCTTCCTCTGAAAAGTTTCAGCTAAACTAATTCAGACCTTCAAAAAATTGTTTTTGACTACTGCCAAGCTGACTGAACAGAAATTCAGGATTTCTAACATCAGCAAATATTGAAGTTCGACTGTCTTCATGGCTGAACCACTGTAAGGCGAACCCTATCCGTATATTGTACTGTCACAGCTGAAATAAGCTGAGCTTAACATGTTATGCACTATATTCAGCAGACAAGCAATTCTAAGGCAAAACTACGGAGATGGAAATTCCCCTCCTCTTAAAAGAATGCAGATCAATTATTAAACAATTTTAGTCACAGAGCATTTTTGAAGACCATTATTTTATAGGTTTTTGACAAAAAAAAAAAAAAAAAAGAAAAATGAAAAAAAGAGCCCAGGATTTTGCACGTCCTGGTTAGTTAGGGAAATATCTTTTTCAGTGCAGAGTTTTCTAGTAAAAAAACAAAGGATGCCCCAAGTGCACTGAAGTTTATTTTGTAAAGTCAATACTCGGTCACAAATAGAATGTCCCATTAAAAGACATGAGCAATATTTCAGGTATACCTATTTTGCTACAGTTTAGATTCTGTACTACTAAGACTAGCTTAGAAATAGCCTATTTCAGAACATAATTTTCTTTTTTCTTAGAAAAACAGGGAATTTTAAGGCTCAACCTTAAACAATTTGAGGCCAAAGAAATCCTAATAAAAATCTACTGTAGTCTTTCCACTGCCTTTAATGGAAGTTGGATCAGGTCCTTTGTCAGCAGACAATTTTTCCATTTGTTACTTAGCATGCAGTCTTTTTAATATGTACCATACAGGTTATGTAAAATAAACAGGTTTTACCACAAGTCTTTTTCCAGAACTAAGTTTTTGCTGTTCTGTTTCTTGTCTTTCATCAGCATCTGTTGCAAATGCCAGCACTTGGTATCTGTTACAGAAAATTAAAAAGGAAAAAATAGCAAATATCTTTGTAATTAATACCTTTTACATTACGTAAAAAAGTAACATATAGTTATCAAACTATGAGTATGCATATATTAGAAGATGCATCTATTAACAGCAAAGATTTTAAAATGAATATCACTGTCCAGTAAGAGTTAAATGCAAAGGCAGAATCTAAAACATACATATCCATCTGCATTTTTATCTGATGCTTTTCTAAAAAATGCATATATTAATATTTGCATATATTAACAATATATTAAAGGATAGAAATACAGGCTACAAATGAGAGAGTCAAAATATCAATATATTTTCAAAGTATGAAATTAGGACAATGACAAAATTGTAAACCTTTTTTTTTTGCTTGCAATCAGCTTTAAATTAAAAAAAAAAAATCTAAACTACCCCAAAATATAATCTGTTTTGTATAACAGTTACAATCTCAAATATGTCCATTAAGTAGACTAAATGGTTCTAATCCAAGAGGTAACTGAAAATTGGCACTGGTAAGTAGCACATCTGTCTCAAATTTCTTTGGAAAAAATGCAAAAAGTTGCTGTGTTTTTACTTTGCAACTGTCAGCCTAGCATACTAAGTAAAAGTTGGCAATGGAGATGTTAGAATGAAAGATGCCATCTGTGACTCTCATTTCTTTCCTGAATTTGCTCTGGTATATCTTACTGAACTAACCTGCTTCCAATGAAGTTACATTAGGTGATAATCTGTAAAATATGAAACTCTCACAAAGCTAAAAACAAAACAAAACAAAAAAACCCCACCACAGACACAGAGAATGTATCAATCAAAAATCTTTTTTTTTATCTAAAAGATAGAATTCAGTCCTGGAAGTCATGGAGTACCCTCAGCTCCTAAGCTCAAAACAACAAAATTCTGAATGTTCCAAATCTCCCCAAGTCTGCGGTAATTTTAAATTTAAAAGAACATATTTTTTGTATATCATCAAAGTTATGTATTTAAAAGGATGACATAGCAACCCTTATATCTCAGATGTACATACTGTGGTACTGGCTACCGATGGGTTTTGTTTACTTAGCTTCTAGTATTATTTTACTTATAGAAGATACAATAAACTATGCACTTGCAGTAAGTAGTATAGGTGAAGGCATGGCCTAGTTAAAAACACTAAATAAATTGCTTCTATGAGTATGAAATGATTGTGTCTTTTTAATATCTTCCTACACAAACCGATTCACTTGCCTTTTCTAATTTAAGAGAGAATTCATAAAAGACGTTTCAGATTCCGATGCAAGAAAAATTTCTCTTTTCATCATATTTTGGTGATATCAGGAATTTGGGTAAGAAATGTAAGCTAGCACCTAATCCTTTCATGATATAACCATGGGCTGATGCACAGTTTCCAAACTAAAATCCCACTGAGCAGCAATATGAACTGATGTCTAAGTACCACCTAACTGAATACAAGTACTCCATCACAAAAAGCCTCAAACTACAGATGACCAATAGACAAACTTTCAATCCAGCTATCACATCGAATATAATCATTGATATAAAATTAATCATATAAATAATCATTTAAATATGAAAGGAGTTTTGGTTTCAGATCGTGAAAGAATTCTGAATTAAAACAGCAGCTATCGCTTTCAAACTGAAAGCAATGCGCTGTATGAGCAACAGGAAGATGGATAATTTCTATTTCGTCAACTTGTTCTGCTAAAATACTAGGTAGGACTGCTACATTAGTAGCTTATCAAAATGAGAAAAAAAAATCTGTTTAATATAAAAAAAACCAACTTTTCTCTCCTTACTATGTCTATTTTCTTCACTTTGGAAGAATTACTCAACTCTGTGCTAAAGTCCTAATAGTTTAGAGCCATACTGGAGATTAGTACCACAGTGTCTTAAGACATGATAGTAGTAAAGACGAATAAGCAGGATCCAAATGAAGAATACCTTTAAAACACATATCTACAATAAAGACAGCATGTTCGTAAATCATTTACAGATTGAGAGAAAATTTTAGCCAAACGTGTTAAAACAGTAAGTCATGAATCTTTAAACATGACGAGAACAAGTCAGATGTCCATTTTGAATGGAAAATATTTCTTTGTATTCACTATCAGTATCAATATTAATTGAATTCTATTCTAATTTCTCTCAGAAGGCAGAAAAATATGAATTTTCTATTTATACAAATTACTTTTACGTACACCACATACCTTTTTCCCTGTTAATAAAATAATACATGTTTACAATCTGCTGACACAATATCCAAACGCTAAAAGTTTCTTATTAAGCTTAAGGAGTATAACAAACAGAGTACTGAGTGAGAAATCCAGGTGACAGAACAAGCTAATACATATTATGATCAAGCATTGTGTTAGGTTAACATTCACTAGATTAGATTCTTGAGGGCATAATATGCAAAGGAGTGGCATTCTTGATTTCTTTGATAATTATTTCCACATACCCTGTCAAGCCCAAAATACATCATGACTAAGAGCCTTTATGATAAAAGAAAACTTGCCATTTTAGCTCTGACAGAAAATAAAGTTGACAGACAGGATGATTCCCTAAATTTCCAGGGACACTACATGTTTCGAAAATATTAATTCCCCTCTACAAAAACCACTAGAATGATCCTTTAAACGCTTTAGATTATGTCACTACTGTGATCGAGACCAAGTCTCACTGCAGAAAGCATGTTTAGATCTGTGTCACTGAAGTAATGACTTGAAGACAGTAGATTATTCATAACCCTAATTCATAATTGTAGTCAGTATAAAAAAATTAAAGGAAAAAATATCATGGATAGCAGGCTTGGCATATTACGTGGCCACTCCTAAATACTAGGAGTAAAATAACTTACGTCCAGAAGAGCAGCAGCAACAATTGCACTCAAACTCATTCACAAAAAAAGGATAAAACTCTTTTCCCAGATTCATTTTATCATTCTTTCAGAGAGACATCTAAGAAAGAAGCGTAGCAGTACTTTTGGTTCCAACATAAATTTATTCACTTATTTAGTAGTATCTGCTGCTCAGTGGAGTGTTTCAGTTAATCTAAAACCAAAAGTCATGCAAGACTGTGAAGGTGAAGTTTCTGCAGCTTCAAGGGATGTTGGAGATCAAGTAGAGGACTCTGTGGAGACTGGGGGGAAAGAAAGACGACAGGTTGAAAGACTCATTTTAGGAAGACAAAAACCTCAGCTCAGTGTATTAAGCGCTCCCCAAGTTCTCCACTGCTTAACTGCAAAGAGAGGAGTTACCAGCTTTAGCAGTTGTTTTAAGGTAGAAGATGTTCCCAAAGAAAAAGTGAACTGAAAATATTTACCATCATAGCCTCAAAAGACCCCATGAGCCCAAACAGCAAATATGACTCCAAGCTAATGATAAAAACACAACTTCATTTTATCTGACCACACTTTCAGGCAAACAGATAATGGCTAGTCACCTTTTTGTCCTGCTGTAGGACCAAAAAAGGCAAGAAGGTAGATCATTAGACATTTGAAGTGGATATATTCCAAGCCCATTTACAAACTGGAGCATGAGAATCTCATGTATCCTCAGCAAAATAACAAAGTCAAGCTTTAAACAAAAGAAAAGAGCTTTACAAGCAGGAAAATAAGTAGGTCAAGTAGTGTCTCAGCTGGAAAAAGGGGCAAAAAAAAATCTCAAAACAGACAGGAAAAGCTTTGTTGCCAGTTTTGGAAATTCTAAAGTATTTACCTTTGAAAACACCAAAATATTGATTTGGGATTATCAGCTGGATTTCACTACAAAGACCTAATGCACCTGACTAACAGCATCCTAGCACTCAATCTTGAGATAATACATCTCTCAAAAATAATAATAATAGTAATAAAATAAAAACACAAAAAGCCTAGCATGAGGTCTTACCTAACTGGTCAGTTCTGAATCAGCCTGTAAAAGCACTAATGTTTCCCAATGATAAGTGTCAATGTTTCTAAGTCTTCTCATCATATTTGAAATAAATAAACAAATAGACCTCATGTCTACAACAATGTTCAAATATAACACTCAAGCATGCTCTAATTACTTGAGAACAGGTCCAGGTTATGCATTGTTTTCAACTGACTTCAACATCCTGAAACACAAGTCCATGGGTCCTGATGGGATGCAAAACCCGTGAGTGCTGAGGAAGCTAGCCAAAGTCATTGCAAAGCCACTCTTAATTATGTTTGAAAGATCACAACAATTGGGAGAGGTCCCCGAGAACTGGAAGAAAGCAAACGTCATTCCCAACTTCAAGGAGGGAGGAAGGAAGAATCCAGGGAACTACAAGCCAATCAGCCTCACCTTGATCCCTGGGAAGGTGGTGGAGCAAATCCTTCTGTAAACCATTTCCAAACATATCAAGGACAAGAAGGTGACAGCATGGATTTACAAAGGGAACACCATGCTTAACCAAACCGATAGCCTTCAACAATGAGATGACTGGCTAGGTGGACAGGAGAGAGCAGTGGATGTTGCTTATCTCAACTTCAGTAAGGCTTTTGACTCCAATATCATCTTCATAGACAAGCTGATGAAGGCTTGTTAAGTGGACAGTGAGGTGGACTGAAAAGTGGTTGAACAGCCAGGCTGACGACTGATCAGAGGCACAAAGTCCAGCTGGAGGCCTGTCACTAGTGGTGTATCCCAGGGTTTGATGTTGGATCCCAGACTGTTTAATATCTTCATTAATGACCTAGATGATGGGACAGTGTGAACTCTCAGGAAGTCTGCAGACAACAGAAAACCAGGAACAGTGGCTGATACACCAGATGGCTGTGCTGCTATTGAGAGACCTCCACAGACTGCAGAAACAGGCTGAGAGGAACTTTATGAAGTTCGACAAAGGCAAGTGCAAAGTCCTGCAGCTGAGCAGGAAAAACGCCAGGCAGAAGGCTGGTCAGCTGGGGGACAACCAGCTGGAAAGCAGCTCTACAGAAAAAGATCGCGGGTTCTGGTGAACAAGTTGACTACGAGCCAGCAGTGCACTCTCATGGCAAGGAAGGCCAACAGCATTTTGGGCTGCATTAGGCAGAGCACTGCCAGGAGGTCATGGAAGGTGATCCTTCCCCTGTACTCAGCACTGGTGAAATTGTATATAGATTGCTCAATCCAGCTCTGCGCTCTGCTTAGCTCTGATCGTTTTTACATTTTGCAAGGTCTCTGCCTACTTGATTCATTGACAGCTGTCTAAAATAACAATTCACAAAGATGATCTGTCGGTTGTGAGGCAAACTCTACTAAGCTATTACTAAAAAAATAAATATTGAACTGAAAATAAGGACTTCTGGGATTCATATTTGCTTGTTGCACTTCTAAGAATATTAAAATATCTACTTCAGTCTTAAACAGACTTGGAGACAATTCAAGCTGCTGACCATTACTCTAACAGTTCTGCCACTTTGTGTTCCATCTTATAGTTCTTAATTCTCTTTTAGCGTGGGTAGTTCCTTCGCCCTCCAAAATTTACTGCTAGGCACGGAGACTCAAAAGGTCTGAGAGCAAACCATGACATTTTTAATGGAGAAAACATGAGGCAGACTATGTTGAGTACCTTGCTCTTTTCCACACCCTTGTCAAAAAGTTGCCTAATCCATTCAGCAGTGGGTCAATTTCCTTGATCTTCCTTTTATGGGTGAGGTATGTATGGAAGGTCCTTCTTGTCCTTCACATCCCCTGCCAGCAGAAACTTTAACCAATCTTATATCTTTCCAATCCCATCCCCTGCATGTCCACATGCCCTACTATATGCCCCCTTGGTAGTCCATCTTAGCTGCCACCTCCCGTAAACTTCGTTTCTCCATTTGAACTCAGGAGCTGCCTATTCAATCAAGTTGCCTTCTGTTATTCCTTCTCATTTTCTTGCACATTGAGATAGATTGTTCCTGGGCCTTAATAAGGTTGTCCATGAAGACCCACCAGCTCTCCTGAGCCCTTTTGTTCTTCAAGGCAGCCTCTCGCAGGATCCGGCCTACTCGTTCCTCGAACTAGCTCAAGTCTGTTCTCCTGAAATCTACAATCTTTAGTCTGCTGATCATCTTCGCCTCCCTCAGGATCTTAATCTATACCACATAATGGGCACTGCAGCTATTGACTACTGCATCTGCAAGCAGTTCTTTCTTATTCGCAAGCTCTGGGTTCAGCAAAGCATCTTTGCTAGCCAGCCTGTCTAGCACTTGCATCAAAAAAATTTTCCCTGATGCACTCCAGAAATCTTCTAGATTGCTTGAGTCCATTGTGTGGTCCTCCCAGCAGATATTAGTCCTCCATGAGACCAAGTGTCCGCAACTGAAAGATTTCTACTTGTTTAAAGAAGGCTTCACACCACACCACAACATCCCTTTCATTGTGCATCTATCTGATTGTGACCTATGTCCTCTCAACAGGTTGGTCATCTGTTCCATAACAGAGCCCCATGCATTCAAGCTGCCTCTCTGGTGAGCACAAATCCCCTTGTCTTTCTTTTCTTAAAGAGCCTGCATCCATTAGCTGCACCATTTTAGGCATGCAAGCTACCCCACTGCATCCCTGTAACTGCAATGATGTCATAGCTCTGCAACTGCACACAGACTTCCTCTTTGTTGCCCAGGCTGTAGTTGTTTGTGAACACCTTCAGATGGGCCCCTAGTCATTCCACTTCCTCTAAGGGAGTATGACAACATCCCCTGTGTGCACTTGACCCTTGTCCCCTATTCAGTCATTTACCACTAGGATTTAGTGCTTAACCCTCAGCACAGCACTCAACTAGGTTAGCAAGCCTCCTCCCTCACTTCATCAGGGGAATTTCATCTCTCCTCACCAACTCTCACTGCTTGAAGAAGATCCTACGATCATAAAAGCCAAAGCACTGTCAGTGACTTTTAACCTGCTTCAAAATTCTCCTGAAAACTGAGCAGATTCATCAAGCTAAAATCTATTTGCATCAGAATAAAAATCCTGTTGAAACAACTGGAAGGAATATCTCCTTGCTTGAGCAGTCTAATGCAGACAAAACCGAAAACACACATAAAACTGAACTCCACTGAAGTGTGGAAAAGTTTGGCACTTGCAGGACAACATGATGTGCTTTTGATTAGTTAATAACCTTACAAATGTTCAAGATTTTTGTATTATTTAAATATGACCATAAAATCGGGACACACAGTATGCTTTCTTCTGCAGCTGCACACAGATATTAATCACATTCAACATATAACATACTATTTTTTTTTTCATCTTTCCTGTAATGACTTATCACCTGCTTTAGGATACAACATTAGTAAAGGCAATAAAAATTAGACATGATTACTTTCTATTACATTTGGTTACCTACTACATGACATCACCAAAATACGCAGTAGTTACTTAACAGAAACACATACTTGTAACTCTCAACCTGTCGACAGGAAGACACCGTAATGAAAGAATCTGTCCGAGAACTGTAAGTTAAAGGACCAGGCAGAAGAAAACCAGGTAAAAATCGGCCAAAAGCATAGCTTTCCTGCTCAAATAACATGAGCATCCCATCCATGGACTGTATACATATCAAATCTCGACCTAAATACAAAGGAAACAAAGCAATATTAATTCTATAGTTTTAATCTTAAAATTATTGTCAAAAAATAAATAGTGCTCATAAGTAATCCTTAGAAAAATAAGATTAATTTCAATTTATGCAAGTGTTTACTATGGGAAAGAACCCTAAACATTCCAATCTTAATAAAAAGCTTATTTATTAAAAAGAACAAAACTAGACAGCTGGATTTTTTTAATAGCATCCCCAGTATATTAATAGTAAAAAGAAAGTAAGATTACCTCATTTCAAACTAAAATTCCCAAAGATATAACTCTTAAAATTTCAATTTAAAGAAATGTTTGAATACTTCTGTAAAAGCAAAATTGTTCTATTTCTTAAACAGTTCTATACCTTAAAAGCAGTCATAACAACTTTAATTTAGAAATAATCTATTCCACATTTGCAAGCGTAGGCAAATAATATAACAAAAATACACAGAAATATATACTATTCATTGTATTGATAAACATAGAAACATGCACTATTGTGGAAAATAACACAATGATAATGTTTTCCTCACTTGGCACTCACATTTTATATCTTCAAGGAAAGATGAAAATAGAACAGGCCTGTTTGATTTGTTACCAATACTACTAAAAATTGAAATAAAAAAAAAAAAAGAGCTTGGAATAAATGACTTCAAGTCTTTTACAGCCCTGCAATTCCACGATTCAACAGCTTCAAGACACGGCTACATCAATCTAAATTCAAAGGTTCATTTTGAAGTCTTCAGAGGTCAGGAACTGATCGTGGGTTGTACATTTCATATGCGATGGTAATAATTCAAATATAAACAATCTTTTGCATATATTTATAAAAGGACAGCTGCAACAGTGAGACTCACACACGTTCTGAAGTTGATGAAAGTACTGCTTCTAAATTCAAATATAAGACCCTATTTTGCAAAAATAGCATAGCATTATTTGTAATTTAACACAACTCTATTATACCTCAGGAATTATAGTAGATCCATGAAGGATTAAGACAAATTCTCTATTTACTCAGTTGCCATTCCCAGTCCCCTAAAAATTATCTTCTGACATAGGAAAAGACAAAACAAAAATGAACTAAAAAAAACCTCGCTCACACTTCAATAAGCAGGGTTACAAAAAGGTCAAAGAGATGACATTCAATATCTGAAAAAGCACAAAGGTGAAATACAGTGGAAAAAGTTGCACACATCTATTGTGATTCTTCATAGAAATTCTAAGTACCAGCACCAATTAAAATAAATAATAGTGTGATAGGTCATACAGCACATTACATTACTTGTCCTTGTGACTAGAACATTGGATAAAGATTTGGCTCAGGGTAAAAACATAGAATTCTAATGCAAGCAGCAGGCTTGTGTAAGATGAAAGGACGGTAAAGTGCCTGAATCCTTTCCACTGGCACCTCTTCCCCTGCTGAGATTGTCCCATTTTCTAAAAAGCATCAAGTTCTCCCATTCTTCCTTCCAGTCTCTGTATTGTCCATTGTATGTCCTATAAACCCTGCTGCAAGTATCAGCTACTTGGTGAGATGGATATTTGAAAATGTAATTTCTGTTGCTCACTTGGCAGAGGCTAAATTCAATCTCTCAATTTCTCTAGTGAAAAAATTAGAATCACAGAATCACAGAATCATTTAGATTGGAAGGGACCTCTGGAGATGAGCTAGTCCAACCTCCCTGCTCAAGCAGGGTCACCTAGAGCATACTGCCCAGGATCGCATCCAGACGGGTTTTGAATATCTCCAGCGAAGGAGACTCCACTACCTCTCTGGGCAACCTGATCCAGTGCTCGGTCACCCTTACAGTCAAGAAGTTTTTCCTCATGTTCAGAGGGAACTTCCTGTGTTTCAGTTTCTGCCCGTTGCCTCTTGTCCTGTCACTGGGCACCACGGAGAAGAGGCTGGCCTCATCCTCTTGACACTCCCCCTTCAGATACTTGTACACGTTGATGAGATCGCCTCTCAGTCTTCTCTTCTCCAGGCTGAACAGGCCCAGCTCTTGCAGTCTTTCTTCACAGGAGAGGTGCTCCAGTCCTCTAATCATCTTTGTAGCCCTGTGGAATACTTTAGTCCTTCAGACCAATGATTATATATGTTGACCAATAAAACAGTGTCATTTCACGAGTGATCTTGTGGGCATTTCAACAACAATCACACCACCTGTCTCCTGCCTTAGTTCTGTAGAGAATTTTCTGAAAATCGGAAAATTAAAGGTCATCCTTATCTAATAACTTTTTGTTATTTTGTCTCTTAAACCTCCTAAAGCATATATTTTGAAGGATAATGTTACTAACTGCTGCTATCAAACACTTAAAATCTTTCTTTAATAAAGGAGAAAGAGCACTTTCATTCAATAAATCCATAAATTAAGGTATAGAAAAGAATTTCCTTCAACATGAGAAAAATCCTATTGACCACACTAAACATGAAATTTAATAAAGTACTCCATTAATCAAGAATAGTTGGCGGCTTTGAATAAAAAAAAAAAAACAACTGAGAAAACTTCGAATAAAGCTTTGAATAAAAACTTAGCCGAGAAAACAACGAAAACTAATCTTCCTAAGTTGAATCATGCTAGAATCCGTACTGGTCAACCAACGCTTTGTACAAAAGCAATTCGATAGGAAAGCCATTAGAGTACTGTTCAATAGCTCTCAGATTAAGATTTTGCCAGCTACTGAAGTCAGTAAATCAGGGCATCTTTGGTTTTCTTTACTACTGCAAGTGAGAAAGTTTAAATATATCATTTTACCACAGCTCTTTAAGCTATTGGTGATTTGCGACGAGCAACTTCAATTTGACGATTAAGTCTCAAAATTTAATCTGTAATGTTTTGAAGTTTGAAGTTTCCAAATAGCAGTACTTTTAAATTTTTTCCTCTTCTATGTGCAGACTGAAGTCATACATCCTTCTAGGAAATGGAAACTCTTTACCTCTGTTAACAGCATAAAGTCAATGAACAAATGTTTCCTGTGACTAAAATCAACAATTTTAAAAGAATTACGGCTTTGACATAGATCCCTAAAAACATTTTCTAAACAGATAGACAGTTTTAGAGTTATGATTTTCCTTGAGTTTTCTACACAGACTTTTTAAATTATAAAGCAGGGCCTATGGCTTCTGTTCAATCTTAGATTTTATTGTTTAGAAAATTAGAAACATATTCCACATTATACAAACACATTAGATAAGCATATGTACACATACCTCTTCCATGTGGATAACTAGCAAGTTTCCTCTCAAATTTGTACAAAGTAGCTTTACTAAAGATCTTTTAAGTGTCATTTAACCTCTTAAGTACTATTTACATGGCACGAAGGTTCCAGCATTGTTTGATTTATTCATAACTTATAGCTCACATTCTATAGCTGAAGTATGTGGTGTTCAAGAGGCTAAAGCATCTACTGATCATCGTCAGGATTAACATTTGGCTTGCTGCTTATACTAAGCCTCTGAAGTCTTAGCCAAGAACATTGCAATGATTTTACCAACATACGATTCAGAAATTAGTCAGTGAAAATCATCTCTAAGTGCCTTATATATAGTTCAATTAAAAAAATAAACATGCATGTGTGAAATTGAAAGTTATTTAATATCAAGCCCAAAATTTTTTAATGTCCTGCTTTTCATCATTTTAACAGCTGACAATCTCAACTACTGTTAGTGTAAATAAAAAAAAGAAAAATAATGTATTAAATTCCTAACAGTTGTAGCAACTGTACAAGTTCAGAGAGCGTCATCTGAAGCTCACAAAGGCTGTGGCTAGACAAATAGGCTAAGCCAATCTCAAATTTTGACAATGCTGGAAGGGTCAGTCCTACTCACTTCTCCCTGGGCCTCCAGCTCCCTGTGCTCAAGGGCTCAGCCGGCAGCTGTCAGCTGATAGTAGGATGACATCCTGACTTTGAGATTTTTTTCTTCAAATGAGTAAATCATTATCCTACATAAATAACTCCACGAAAGCTTAGCAGCTGAGCCATTGAGAGATTAAAAATCATTCAAAGAAGCTTCTATCTTTCTTGTCCCTGAACTACTCCAAAGCTCTGTGGTAGATATCTGTTCCTCTAGTTTGTGCAATTTCACAGGATTTAATCTCATCATGTATGCTCTGATCAGCAAACAACAGAAACCATTAGAAAAGAACATAGGATGCTCTGTGCTGGTATGCTATCGATAGGCTAATGATACCCAGCTTCCGCTTCCAGCAACTGCTGACAGTACCAACAGCCTGCTGATAGAGTCTAGAAAAAGCAAGAAAGTTACCTGAAGATAACTGTGTAAAACTACGTTAACTAGTAAGCAAAAATTCTCTGAGAAATTTGCACAAACGCTGAAAACTCTCATAAAAAGTACTAGCCCACTGGCTGGCACAACAATCTTTTAGGTATGCATGTCTTAAAATATAGTTATTGGTTGCCAGAAATCACTACTGGCATTTATTATTTGCCTTGCAAGAACATACTGCTTCATAATCCAGATGTCCATGTGATCCGTGGTTATTCTGCTTCTGTTATCTCAAAAGTGTAGCAGGCTGTCTCTCCAAAATACCATTAGGGAATTACATATGTTAGAATTCAACAGTCAAAGGCATACTGAAAACCCCCCTCAACACTTTACATCGACTAACTGTTGAGTTTCACTTCTATGTTACAACTTTATCAAGAGTACAATCCAGTAAGTCTGGGTATAAAGATGAAGTCTTCAATTTCTGTTCTACAGTTTCCTTTGAATTAATTTACCATCACCATGCCATATACTACAGAAGTGTCAGGCTAAATCTGCCCTACTTCCATTGCCTTAACTTCCAGTGTCTAGCTTCAAGGAATCTCCCAGCTACCTGAAATCTGAGATAAAAGATATCAACTTCAAAACAGAAACCATATTTACGTGTTTTAAAAGACACAATAGGATGCATTTGTATTTTGTCTCTCAAGAACTCCTATCTTTCATCTTTTCTACATCAGAAAGACAAAGATATTGCCACAACCCT